CATCCCATCATGCTTACAACATTTACTTTACATTGATTAGAAATTAATATTATCCAACATTCCAGTCTACTTTACCTGGTTACCAGCTTCATTCATAAGAGTGGCACACTCACAGTCATAAGTAGAAACTGTTCAATTTGTATTTAAAATGAAGCTACATGGGCAGATGATGGAGTAGATTTTAGGTTTAGGTTTAGTAGGTTTTATCGCCCAAATGTAAATTTGATTCTTAAGGATGTAGTAGACTTTCGTTGGGCAAAACAGAAAAAGCTTTATAAAAATAATAATAATGATTAATGACTAACACATCTTACATGTTATTGTAGCCCTTACATCACTCTATCGAAAAATTATAATAACACTAATGTCAATGTCAATTACGGCACGTGACTGCTAAATAAACAAAAATAAAACCAAAACAACCCGTTCGATACATGATCAATAAAGTTATGAAAAAAAACGATAATTTAAAAAAAAAACGTAAAACGAAGTATGGCCGCCCTTAAATAAACAGTGTAAATCACGTTATCAGTTTAAGCTTATTTACTTGACTAGCTTAGTTTCGAGTGTTATACCATATCACAACAAACGATTGTTTACGTACGAAATGTATAATGTGACCGTTAAACTTGGCTCAGAACTATCAGCTCAGCTACTAATGGTTGTCTGAATTCCGAGTGCATTGCGCGTGTCGGATGTTTTGTAACAATTGAAAGCTGGTGCGCGTTACTTCTTTGATTGTGACCGGAAATCACTCATATGAGCCTGGCAGTCTATTCTTTTGAAATTGATTATTCTATTCTCCCCCTTCCCCGGGTGGACAGGAACTTCAGTATTAGGTCATCTGACATTATATTCCAGCAATTTTGTGAACTAATAATTATGTTTCTGTGTGATATTTAACATTGAAGTGTTTACTTAAACATCTAATATGTACTTAATGAATGGTTGTTTGTCCAATGTATTGTATCTGTACTGTTGCTTGTTATCTGTGTTTCAATGTTTGTCTACTGTGTACATCTCACCCCAATCACATCAGCTATATCATATGCATGCTATAATTCCATGGTCGTAATAGATGAACATACCGCTAAAGAAACC